GCACGGCCAGGGACACACGACCGTGTGGATTTCCAGGCTGGGCGTGTGAGTTCCCTGGACTTTCCACACGGCCACAAGGGGTCCCCTACACGGCCAGTGTGGCTTGCCCGTGCAAAGTGGTGCTACACGGCCAAGTCACACGGCCGTGTGGGATTTTAGGCGTGCCCGTGTGAGTTCCTCAGCTTCTCGCCAAACGTTCAATCTTCGTCCAATCGACCCCGAACTCGTTCCCAAGCCTTCATTCACGTATTAGGACCTGAAATATCACAAACAAGAACAACCTAGCGTGATATCGGCTTAAAGCACGAGAATCAACATCTCAAACAGCTCAAGAATAGGGGTAAAAATATGTGCATTCAATGGTCTATCACCAGACATTCTTCTAAATGCAGACAATACTCTTTTAATACACTGAAGCCCCATATTAGACCCATCAGAGAATAACAGAAGGTCATCAGCAAACATCAGGTGAGTTAATTTCAGCCTTTTACACATAGGGTGGAAAGGCATCAAGTCTTGCTTAACTGCCTCATTCATAAGACAGGAGAAGATTTCCATAGCTACTGCAAACAGTAAGGTGAAAGAGGATCACCCTGCCTCAAACCCTTCTTGGCAGGGAAATACCCAACTGATCCACCATTAAACCCAATACTTAGCCTAGGTGTTGTAACACACATTCTTAACCATTTCAAGAACTTGTCAGGGATCCCCATGGCTTGCAAAACATTAAAGAGGAACCCCCAGTCAACAGAATCAAAGGCCTTCATAAGATCCACCTTTACTAAAGATCTAGGTGAAATGTTCTTCCTACCATACTTATGGACCAATTCATGTGCAAGAAGGATATTCTCCCCAATAACCCTACCCTTGACAAAAGCAGTCTAGGATTCACTTATGATACTAGGCATAACAGTACTAAGTCTGGTGGCTAAGATTTTGGCCATACACTTATAAAGAATATTGCAACAGGAAATAGGTCTAAAAAACTTCATTTCCTCAGGGTTCTTTGTCCTTTTCCCCCAATAACTTCTTATAGAATCCTTCAGCAATTTTGGACATCCCATTAGTATCCGTAACCCTAGACCCAGATTCATCAAGCAAAGATCTAATCATATTCCTCTTTTGCCTACTCTTAACAGAGTTATGAAAATAGGGGGTATTAGAATCACCCTCCTTAAGCCAGATTTCCCGAGACTTTTGTCTGAAAAAGGATTCCTCAGCTTCTTTTAGCTCCTTGACCTCTTTAGCCAGTCTAAGCTCCTCTGCAAAGGTATCAGAAGTAGGTGTTTTGAGAGCCTCAGCCTGAGCCCCCATCAATTCACTTTCCTTCAAACGGACTCTTTCACTCAAATCAGAGTAGACATCTTTGTTCAACCTCTTCAGAAGCCCCTTGAGAATTTTTAGCTTCTTACAAACACAAACCAAAGGTGACCCATCCACTTGCATCGACGAGGCCTCCTTCACCAGATCAAGGAATCTAGGATACTTTATCCAGAACTTGAAGAATTTGAAGAGTTTAGGCAGAGACTTAACTGAACTATCAGTATTCAGATAGATTGGACAATGATCTGATACTGAAGGATCAAGTAACTCAACAGTACTCGACACAAGATCCCCAAGCCATTTGACATTGACAAATACCCTATCCAGCCTCCTAGCAATTGGATTGCCAATTTGTTTGTTAATCCATATAAACCACGGACCAGATGCCTTGTGCTCCTCAAGCTCACAGTCATATTACCACTGCCTAAAATCAGCCATACTACTAGAGAAGATAGGTGAATTTGAAGCCTCACTGATATCCCCAATAGCATTGATATCTCCCAACACTGCCTAGGGGGCTGAACCAACTTTGGAACCTTTCAAGTCACTATAGAGGACCCTTCTACCCAGTTCCTCATTTGATGCATAAACCGCCGAGAGGAAAAAAGGAACACCAGTGGAAACCATAAGATGAATGAATTGATCTGTCTTATGCAAAACTATAAGCAGTATATCAGGCTTCCACAATAACCATAACTTCCCCAAACCACTACTATTATTAGCCACCTTAAACTCCCAACCAGGGAACTTTTTATTTATCAATTCCTCAGCCTTATTATGTCTAACTCTAGGTATTAGTATAACTAGGATATCTATATCATATCTATTTACTAGCTGTCTAACAGCCTTATTCTTGCCCGGGTCATTAAACCCCCCGGACATTCCAAGTGAGAATTTTCATCGTTTCTTACTAGCTCTCCCACCTTTACGGGGGAGAATTGGAGCAATGCGAGGATTAGAAGGCTTCTGTTTAGCACTGCCCACCACAATCCAAGGATTAGGCTCCTTCACTTGATCTTCACTGTCTAGGACTTCCAACCTTAACCGATGACCCAAGAACTACATCAACAAAGCTAACAGCCACATTCCCAATCGACGGGGGAACTTGCGCTTCCTGGTCACTCATATCCACCTCCTTCCCCTTAGAGACCAAGTTATCAACATTAGCACCATCAAACACTCCAGCCTGAGGCTCCAAAGAAACCTCAGAAACCACCAGTGCAGCTTCCTTCTCGCTAACCAGTGTTGCAGATTCAGAAGGAGCCCTGTGCTCACCCTTAATAACCCATTTCTTATTACTGTTTGCCAAAATAGAACAGTCATGCCCATAAACTTGACAACTTGGGAACACCCTGGGCAAGTTCAAGTATTCAATAAAGACCTCAAAACCCGGATTATCATCAGGTTAGAGCCGTACCTTAGGTGGAAATCCACAATCTGCTGAGAGATCCACACAAACTTTTGCGAACCCCAGCTGACTCCCCATCCTGGTAGCTTTGTCCATCCAAAGAGGCGGCCCTAGGGTACTTGCAACCCACTCCAGAACATCAATCGAATGATACTCCAACGGGATCCCCCCAAGTGTTACCCAGATAGGAAGTGATTCAACCAGCGGAGTCACTGGCTGAATGCCTGGAGTCCACTTCCGAAGGTATAGCTGGTTACCTTGATAATGCCAGGGCCCCGACCTGAATACCCACTTGCTCGTTGACGAAGATGGGAATTGGAAAACAAACATTCGAGACCCAAATCACGAGACTCGAACAACACCGTTTCTCCCCCAAATTGATGTAGCCCAAGTCAGAAGCCGAGCCACCTTTGGGTGAGCACCAACAAACTGCCCGATGAGGCAATCACGCCAGCGCTCTTCCCCTTTTTTCTTCACCTCTCGCGGAATACGATAGTCGTCATTCACCCGCTCCGGAGAACGAAATTTCATCCGGCTCTCTTGAGGAACCTCAAACAGTTGAGCCCAAGTGCTCCCCCCGGATCCCTTGCCTGTCGTCGGAAACCCTAGGGAGAATTAGAGAGAAGAGAGAGAGAGAAGTTTAGCTGTTGATTATCTTCTCCAAAATTTCAAGATTCTAATATAGAAAATAAATTTGATCAGATGGCAGCAACACAAAAAAGCCTTAAAGCTACTGTAAATCAGTTGGCTGCAAAGATGAACGACACTGCAAGGTAAGAACCTTGTTGTATTCGATTGTTTGGATGAGATTAGAATTTCATTGTTGGTTTGTTGTTGTTGTGAATGGCACAATCTCATATATGGTTATATTTATCACATGCAGGTAGATATGAAGGCGTGAAGAATGTTAAGTTGCAGCTATGAAGGCTTGATGTTTGAGTCGAGGTTTAGGTAGTGAACTAATGATGTAGATGTGTAGGTTATGAACACTTTTGGATGTTTGGCTTGTTGTGAACTAAAAAGCTTGCTGGATGTTTGAGTTCTCTAGAATGTTGGAGGTTTGATTACTCTTTTGGATGGTTGGCAGCTATGAATGAAATAGTTCTTTTGATATGTGTAAGTATCATTTTGTCATATTGTCTCTGTAGTGCTGTGCCAAATATGACGAGCTAGTTGTCACAATACAGAAACGATTTGAAATTATCCGGTTTTAAAAGAATTCACACAATGACAAATGTTTTTTGTGACTTAAAACATAAACTATAATGTAACAAACCTAGTGACAATAATTTTCATTACAATAAACTATTTTGTCATAATAGCCTCTTCAAAATCGGATGGCCTGTGTGTCATCATGTGACAATTTGTCACTTAAGAACTTTGACGCCGTATATTTGTCACTGGAACATGAAGGGTATGGTGACAAACTCCATTTGCGTTTGTCACAATAAATCTATTACGACGAGCTTCCGGTAACAAATGCATTTTGTCACAAAGTTTGTCACAACAGAGTTTACGTGACAAAATCGGGACCTGTAATGACAAAACGGATTGTCACCATAGACCATATATGTTGTAGTGATAGTGAAAATTTACACACGCTTATATAACATAAATATTCAAATCAACAGTATCATTTATAGCTGAAAAGTGAAACTGCACCCCTAATTCAAGTTTTCCTGCACATAGAGTGATTTTAGGAGGCTGACGTGGCATCCCATTTAGGCAGGATTTCTTTCCTCTTCCGTCGACTGGAATCGTTCTCTTCCAAGGTTGTCAAACCGGTTTATGCCAGTGTGCCGGTTTAGCAAATGGAATGGTTCGACCGGTGGCACATACCGGTTTGTACCGGTTCATGCCGGTCAATATTACAAATAAAATTATAAATACTCATATTTAAACATGACATTTAACGTCAATACCTAAATATTTATGCTTGAATCCAACAAATAACATCAATATTTAACTTTAATACTCATAAAATAAATAATAAAATAATTTTTAACAATTAGATTCAATAAAATAAAGTCATTTTACTTAGAGATTCGTATATCGATCATGCCGGTCATACCGGTGCTGTCACGCCGGTTTTATGACCGGTACCGGTTGAACCAGGTACAACCAGTGGCATGCCGGCGGGCGTGACAACCATGTTCTCTTCTCTCCACTTTTTTTCTTCTCAAAAGCACAAGCTAACCTCCGGCAGTCGATTCTATGTACCTGCATTTCGACTGATTCCTCTTCGTGATTACGGTGCTTGCGCTCCATATCTTCCATCAAAATCCTCACTCAACCTGGCCATCGTTTGCGCTCCCAATCCGCCACTGAAAATCGATCTCACGATTGGTCTTTTTATTCTTGGGAATTGAAGATGGAGAAGCTGAAGATTTTGACTCTTATATTCCAAGGCAAATAGAACGGAGTCGAATGAAGTAGTTGCGGTAGAGGTCCGACTTGAGCGGTCGTAATCGATTCCTCTGCTGTGGCGCTGTTTTATCCTCTCAATTGTGGTAATCTTTTGTCTTTCTTCACCGGAGAGTCGTTCTGCTTCGCGGTCGGAAAGTTCTCCCCCATCCCTTGCAGCTTCTCCTCATTTGGCTATTGTATTTTGACGTAAATGTCGGGTAGACTTTTCAGGTGCTTTTTCTCATCGATTTCCCTGTGTTGTGTTTGGTTTAATTCTTCAAGTTTGGGTGTAATCATGTGTCCTATTCTTGCGGTCTCTGCATAACTATTCCCATTCTCATAAGCAGATTGGGTTAGGGATTGAAAGCTTTGATTCTTCAAGGTCGGGTGCAACCATGTGTGTCTTTCTTCTGCTTGAGCCATTCATATCTCCATTCTCTTGAGTAGGTCGAAATAGGGAGTGCATTTAGCCTGCACTTGTGCGTTTAGGGTTTGTACGTTGTGGGTATCTTTCAATCTGAGGCGGATTCACTTATTTTTCCCATAGCACACCCATCTAAGGAGAATTCCATTATTTTTTCCAGGACACACCCATCTAATTTGGTTCTCCATCAGGATCTCGAATTCCCCCCTTTCATCCATCAATATAGTCCCAATAGTATAGAGAATCCCCAATTTGGATGTTTCCTTAATTCTTAGACGGAAGCAAAACTCTATGTCCCTCATATGGAACACCTCAAGTCCTTCAATTACTTTTCAAACGCCAATTCCAATCATGTTGCTTTTGTGTACAGTCGCCTCCAGTTGTCTACATTTCGACTCTCAGTACTTAACCCTCAAACTCTTATCTTTCACTAATTGGACCTCAGAGTTCATAGGTAATCCATTTCTTTTTATTGCCTCTTGGTTTCCTGTTTGTAATATTTAATTGATAGGCCAACTTTAATGCTCATTTTATTGTGTCAATTGCATATGTATGGAAATATGTTTGTGGGATTACATATATTAATATATAAAAGCCTTGGTTCCAGGCACTGTTCATTAGTGGCATCCACTTTCCTCTTTGTGACTGGGCAATCTCCAAACCATTGCCTTCATTCGCCCACGTGCCTAGCTTCCCCTCTCACACAAATGCCCACTCCTCCTTATTACCCCACTCGCCAATAAAAGACCTTTGGATCCAGCCTTTCTTCATCAGTTACTCATCAAAACTCTAATTTCCAGGAAACAATTCATTAGTTCTCAACAAAGGATCCTCACTCGCCACCAAGGTTGTCACGCCGGCCGGCGTGCCACTGGTTGAACCTGGTTCAACCTGTACCGGTCATAAAACTGATATGACACCACCGGTATGACCGGCATGATCGATATACGAATCTCCAAGTAAAATGATCTTATCTTAGTGAATTTAATTGATAAAAAGTAATTTATTATTTATTTTATGTGTTAAAAAGTTAAATGTTGATGTTATTTGTTGGATTCAAGTACAAATATTTAGGTATTGACGTTAAATGTCATGTTTAAATATGAGTATTGTAAATTATTTGTAATATTAACCGGCATGAACCGGCACAAACCGGTAGATACCACCGGTCGAACCATTCCACTTGCTAAACCGGCACACTGGCACAAACCGGTTTGACAACCTTGCTCGCCACTTTACCTTCTCTTCCTTCTTCTGATTTCTCTCCTGCCATAAGCAACCTTCTGCTTCATCTTATCTTCTCCTCCATACCACACAAACTTTCCCTTTTGTTCGTCGGTTCAGAACCTCTCTCCCCTTTCCATCTACTTCCGATGACTTTTTCCCCAATCCCCACACACTATCTTGCCGCTTCGCCGACCCGAGATCCACGGAATCCCACCAGAACCTTCTGTTTAGAGAAAATCCTCCCATACCCTACACACTCTCGGCAGAATACTGCCTTCCCTCTCCTGCATCGTTTCAATTGCCCTCTCCCAAAGCTCGATTCTGAACCCCCGTGCTTCGTTTGGCCGTTACCCCACCAAAACTGTAGCTGCCTTTCAATCGACCACTTTTCAGCTAATGCCCCGCAACGGCGTGACGGGAAGGAGAGTAGTTGATGTGGAGGAAGAAGTTGAGGTGGAGAAGGCGGCGGCGGCGGAGGTACATCGATCGCTCTCGCCCTTTTCGGCAAAAACCCAGGTACCGATCTCTCTCTCTCTCTCTCTCTCTCTCTATTTAAGAAAGGAATTGTTGGAATGGAGAAAGAAGTTTAAGAGGAGGTCATGGCGGCAACGAGCTCCTTCATGGAGGAATCACAAGGGAGATTTGAACTCGGTGGACAAGCACCAGCGCCAGCTCGAGGTCCGACTCCGGCAGCTCTAATGCGGAAGGCGACGACGACTAGAAGAATGCCGACTACAGCGAATTTTTTCCTTCACTCCATTCACCCAACTCAATGTGGTTCCGTTGAGGGAAAGATTGAGTTTCATTTTGTTGATGGGTTGTATGTTATCTGCTTTTGTGGCTTATGTTGGTTATTGCGGCTGACCTCAGGAAAGCTATGGACAACACTCTACTCGACCTCCCAAAGCTGAAGCGCCACATCTACGCTGTCTTCTTCTGCCTCAAAACCGGTCTCAACCTCTACATCCAGCTCTCTTCAAATTCATTTACTTTGGTGGGTGCATTTTCCTTCCACTTTTCCCCATTTCTGGCATTTCATTGTGGGACTCTAATGTCAAGGAATGCGTGGATTGGCTCTAGGTGACGATAGAACTCATTCGTGATATTTTGGATCAAAAAGTACCTCTTGCCAAAGCAACCTATGCTGCCTTACAAGAAAAATAAAGTTACAGTTTCTTTTCATTCCATCCTTTTCCCAAAATCCACATCGAATTCAGCTTCTAGAGTATTTGTGCTTACATTGTTGTTTCAGTCTCTCATTGATTAGGTTATGTTCAGTGTTCAGCTTCTGTTAGTTCGGGTAGCTTTCCAATCGTGAAATATCTTTTATCAGTTGAAGTTAATTGATTGCACTATTAATTCGTTTTTAGAAAATTTTGTTGACTTTGTTTGGTTGTTGATATCTTTGTTATGTGTCATGTTGTAAACATAACTGCCATTTCATAAAATTCGGTTGCGATAGTCTGGAAGGAGAAATGTGCTTCCTACAAGCTAGAAGCCATCATTAGTTAGAAGCTCTATCAAACAGCTCCATTGTTTGCCTAGAGCGTCTGTGGGTTAACAAAAGTTGGTTAGCAACTTCCATTATACTGTTCGATTTCTAAGCCCCTTGGTCGATTAGGTTATGTTGTTTGCCACTGCCACTATGGATTCAGAGTGTTTTACTAACAAGCTGTAACATATTTGTACTATCCATTTCGTCAGAGGCTTCAATTTTTCTCTATGGCATTTGCTACATAAACCTTCACATATGGACTTTGCTGGTCTCTTTGGTATTCAATGGACCAGTAAGGGCATTTGTTTATACTTTTTGGTTGATCTGTGATCATAAATACACAGTGTTCAAGAAGACGCTAGGCGCTATCTAGGCGAGGAGGCACCGCCCAGCGCCCAGGCCGATTAGTCGTTGCCTAGGCGAGATTAAACGTTGAAAAAAATATATGATAAATAAGCCATATTACACAAAAACTCAAGTCGCTATATCATTATTCATGCATTCATATACACATACAACCCTTTTCCATTATCCCAAACATCCCAAGTCGCCAACCATGAGGAGGGATCTCACTGCTGGTCGATAAGGGGAGCGGCTGGTCAAATGGAAAAGGGTAATAGAATAGGGATTGAGATTTTCACAAAAAAACTACACTTTCCCCCTTTATTAGTTGTTCTGGGCGTTCCCCACCAGAGTGAAAACTCGCCTCCAAATGCCTAGGTGCCTAGAATAATCGCCCAGGGCTAGACGGGGCGATTTCCTCCTGCCTAGCTATTAATCGCGCCTAGGCTAGAGATTAATCGCGTCTTCTTGAACACTGTAAATACACAAAAAAACTGAATTGCCATCCATTCAAAAGGAAAGAACCCAAAACCCGTTAACCACCCCTAGACTAATTGATCACAACTCTTCAAGATGAAGATCTTAATGTGGTCCTCATAGTCAAATGAGGGGAATTATGTGTTGCCTCTGCAAGTTTTCTATCTGCTGCAACTTTGTGGCTTTAACCTATCCCACAATGGCTTTACTTCTTTTTTTATCTGACATTTTACTTTTCACAGTACAATTGGAATCTGTCATCGAGAGATTAATTGCATATGAAGTAACGAGCAAAACTTAGATTGAAAAGAAAGGTTCAATTTGGTTGTATCATTCTGATGTACTCAGAGATTGGGGAGGACAGACGGACCAGCATAATTTTATGCAGATTGGGGAGGATATGTAAAGAGGGATAGGTACCCTTTTCCTTTTTTTACTTGGTTATTCATTTCATACTGATGTTCATTTAAGTTTCGAACTATGTAGTTTCTTTTCTTTCTTGGAAAGTATCCGCCATAGAGGAAGCATACAGGACATTCGATTAATAATGGTTCTAATTACACCAGAGGCATGAACTACTTGGGATTTGTTTGTACTAAAAGCATAAAAAATATGAAGCTAGAGGACATCATTTGATTGACATATAAATATCATGTTAAGTATAGGCCAAGCCATTACAGCTATATTAGCGAATCAACATCTGTAAGTTTGTCATTAATTGGAGAATGCTACGAATGTTTTCCCAGGATCTCAATTCACTGTTTTTATATGTTGAAATTTTAATACAGAGAAGCACCGGAACTGATTGTGCTTACCAAAAAGGGCATTTGCTTCCTGTTAATGCTGCCTTCTGATTGTTTTGTTGTTTTGTTTGTTAATTAATTCTATAAACTGGAATGCTGCAATTTTACAAGTTTGGTGCAAGCTACCAAGAAGAGAATTAGACACCCTTACAACTTAAACAATAATTAGATCCGGTGTATACACTGTGGAAGATTTATGTGCCATGACAGGAAGGTGAAGAGTAGGAATAAAAATTAATTAACGCTAACAAAAAGATACTGATAAGACTCTTACTTTTTTCCTATGCTGCAGTACAGGCCTCCCAAGGCACCAACAAGGTCCCAAGCCTTGCAGCCTCAATCTGTGAAGTTCTTGGGTTGGTTCGTTAGCTTTTCTTTTTCAGTGTTGAATGTTAGGTGAATGTTATGAGGGGATGTCCCATGTATCATTCAATAGTTGCTACCAAGTAGTGGACTGTTCCATCTAATTAAGGTTTCTTGGTGCAACTGTCAGGTTTAACTGTGGGGCTCTTACTGGTTTTCCATGCAACATCCATCATTCTCTCTCGATTGCTTTCTTTGGAGTTGGGGATGGGCAATGGGATGCAATGAAACAGTTTGGTGATAACATTCCTGCATTTGACAACTTGCAGTTGCAGGTACGTACTTTTCCAGATATAACTTTGTTACATGATTCTCTAAAGTTGTAAGCTTTAGCAGAAACTATGATTGAACTAAAAATGAAAAGGTTAGACATAACATAATTATGCAACAAGGGTTGTTTGTTTCATTAGTTAGGATGATGTCTACTGTTAGTTAATTATTTGATCATTGCCTGAGAGTTCACTGAACTATGGTTTTGTAACAACAGGGTTGCTAAATTAAAAATCTCACCAAGATGCCAACTAAACCAAGTGATGTACAACAAAATGATCACTACTAACTTGGTTTTGGTTCATATGAGTCTACCAACTTATGCACCCACTTTAAATAACCCTTTTTCAACTCAGCCGTATCTGCAAAATCAAATCCCAACCAGAGATCCTACCCTTTCATAAATTGGAAAGGGCTGGGAATGGTGTGCTGATTGGATAATTTTGGTGACGATGTGAGCCTATATCATATGCTAACTCTAACAAACTAACGGTGTAGTAGATGGAAGGAAACATTTTTTTACAAATCCCTTTGGTTAGTATTTTGTGATGCTTTTTTGTTTACTGGGTTTCATTTGCTCTTGCTTTCCAATACAGAGCCACACAAAGTATCGATTTTCTGGGCAGATTTATGACTTTAAAGTTGATTGGGTTATAGCAGTATTAGTGGTCTCCATTAAAGTTGCTTCTGTACCTTCACTTTTGCTTCTCTTTTGAATTCAGATTCCCTTACGTTTCCCTTTTGTTGCAGCTGCCATATCCTCCTCTTGACGTTTTATGGTTGTAGCAAAGATCAACCTGTAGAATTCCTACTTTGTTAGCCGAGCATGAATTTAGTGTTTCAGCAACATGCTCAATTGGAAGGAATAACGGCCTTAGCTGAAATTTTACTTATATGGGGTCATTTGGATCCAGGTTTTTAATTTGTGGGATTTTGGCTCAAATCACTGGTTTAAAAACCTAGGTTTTTAATTTGTGGGATTTGTGTGGGATTTTAAAATAGCTGATCACCATCAGCTATTTCATAATCCCACAATTGTGGGTTTCTGAAATCTCTAATATTTAAAATCTCTTATCATATAATTGCTTTCCAAACGAGTGATTTTAATAAAATCCCACATTATGTAGGATTGTGCCCAAATCCCACACCCAAAACCTGCATCCAAATGACCCCATAATTTTCACTCAGACCTACAGAGTTTGTTTCAGTATTGAGTTGTTGGTTGTTGGGAGATTTATATTCTATTCTGTCATATGTTCTGACAGTTAAGCGATTCCTCCTTCCAGTCATATGGTTTAGAGAGACCACATCTACAGTCCTTATTTAGCCACATTTGTTGTCAGTTATGCGTTCGCCATTTGTTCAAAACAATATCATGGACATGGCCTCAGCTATCAGTCGATATTGGAATTGTCTCAATCTGCGCTTTTTTTTATTTATCGAAATGATTGAATATGGAAAACTGATTTGTTCTGGATCAGTTTCATGATGCGCCAAAGCAATTACGATTTGTTCACCTTTTAATTATCTTTCATGCTTCGCTTAAATTTTGTTCTTTATTTGAAAGGATATTTGTCTTTCCTACTTATCATTAGGGGTAGAATGATCCGACAATCGACATTATAGGAATTAGACTTTGTAGTACTGATTTTGTGCTTTTGCATATGTGCGAAGCGTAGCGAGCGGGTCCTTGCTAGTATATGCTAATTTGATGGTTGGATTACAGTCATATGATCTCCTCTGTTAAAACAAAAGATACTTTTCATAAAGGCATGCCACTGCTTCTCATTTGGCCTCAAATTTCATTCCCGTTGCTATGTTGTATAGACATTTTTAGCTACCTCCAATTTCAAGTCACGCTCTAATCCGCACCTCCCTCTCTATGTTGAGTTGACCCTCGGGATTGGTAGGTGATATGTTGCCTATTTATATAGCTTGGTTTCGTGGTTCTAATTTGGAATCGTGGTGAACAGCTTTTTGGCTGAATTGATTGTGTGATTACCTTTATATGCTTGACATGTAAGTACTTTTAACACCATTCATTTTGACAACGGCATAACCCCGCTTCACAATGTGCATTCAGGGTGGTTTTAGCTATGAGGATGTTTCATGTTGTTCAATACAGTTTTCTTACTCATTATCAACATGATAGACCATGCACTCTTGCTGAATGTGAACATTCGTGCTGCTATGGTGGGCAAACGTTTGCAGTTGTCTCCATTATCAAGTCACACTCTAAACTGCACCTCCGTTCCTACGCTGAATTGAAACTTGAACTTGATAGATAATCATTTGCGTCTTCTTAAAACTTGGTTTTGCTGCTTCCGAAATGGAATCTTGACGACTAACTTTCCAGCTAAATTGATTTTGATTACCTTTACATGCTTGATAGGTAATTCTTTATAACACAATGCCTTTTGACAACGTCATGACCCCGCTTGACAATGCACATTCACGGTGGTAACAATTCATTTTAGCTATTGGGATGTTCCATGTTGTTCAATAATGTCGTCTTGCCAATTATCAACTTCATAGACCATGCACACTTGCTTGAGGTTAATAGTACTGAATGCGTATTTTGTCCATATTATGCTCATGTGCATGCATATGGGTAACTGATTGTATGCCGCCATATGTATTTAGTGTTTGCTGACTCTGATGAGTTATTCTGATGTGATGCGCCTGCAGGGCTGATTATATGCCACACATGTTTTAGTATTGTCAGGCTTCTATTGTGGCTTTGCCTGCTTATGGGTTTAATGGCCGCCGGAGCTCTTTATATACAAATAAGTTCAGTTATCTTCTCCTTGTCAGTACACCATCCACATGTAAATATACAACCAGGATGCATGAATCTATATTCTATTGTTTGATTATTATTATTATTATTATTATTATTATTATTATTATTATTATGTAGAGTTATTTTCACTATATTTGATAAAGGAGGTCTCTAATGAAGAGCGATTTTGTTCACATTGCTACTCTCTCTTCATGGGTTGGCATCTAGAGTGACCTCTTCCTAGAAATAGTGTAGCATAAGAATACATCAGTATCACCGAATATGAAGATGTGGTCGTTTGTCTTAAATATATTGACTATATAGCATGGCCACATCATTTTTGCATTAATAGTTAGTTGTAATGCCTTTTGGAACATGATGTGTATATATCTACCAGACTACCACCTAAACTTTGTTTACCCCACCTTAATTGAAGAATATGCATAATATTGTGTACAAGGAGATTCTAGATAGATTAATTGTTGCTTTTCAAATGATTTGTGTTTCTATAAGTGTCATGCCTTTCCTTTATTCTTAATAATTCAAAGTCCAAACATTGTTTTACTGTAGTAAGTAGCTTCCTCAATTCAGTCTTGCCTACCTGTTTAGTTTCCTTCATTTCCACCTGCAGTCTAATTCGTTATCAAAATGCTCCTAAATTCTCAATGATAAAATAAATCTGATTACATCGATGGTTCTCTTGTTATATGATTCATTGCATGCTCCTTTATTACATCACAAACCTCGAACCTGTAGCATACCAGTTCATTACAAGGTCAACTCAAATCCTATTCATCTTCTTCTAAAGCAACTGTCCATATCAATTAACTAACACCAAGTTACTACCCTTAATTTTCATATTTGTGTTTCTATCACTCCAAGCTTTCTTGGCATGCAGGATCCTCTCCACTTTGTATGGTGCTTGATTCTTCTCAATCGCATTTCTATTCCTATCTGCCCAAATATGTAACATGAAAATAGTATACAGTTAAGTACTATAACAATGAAGGCTACTATGAACAAGAAAATTTAATTAAATAACTCAAAACCGATAATTCCAACAACTACTCTACTTCAATTAAATAAATAAATCCAATTATTGTAAAATTGTACCGAAATTCATAGTGAAAAAATTAGTGATAGGCTATTTGGTACTAAGACCGTGGTGTGCGGCCAACGAAAAGGCGAGAGTAAATGTGCTTGCAGCGAGTTTAGCCCACATATCCGGCCAGGAAAACGAATTAGCGAACGTGTTAGGTCTCTGCAAGCGGGTATAGACATAGAAGACGAGGCAGCGTTGGTGGTCTACTTGGCATCTGCCAGACGGAGCGGCTCCAAGGTCAGATTAGCCCTTACACCAGTTGGGCTTGAGGCCAATAGTTTTTTTGGCGTCGTTCAAGGTGTCGTCGATCTGTACTAAAAAAAATTTCTTCTAGGAGGCGACGTTGTCGATTCATTGGAGTAGGAGACTGGATTGGTGGGAGCAAGGGCGATGGCGTCAGAGAAGTGCTAACGCCGCGTTGCCATGGAAGGGAAGACCGCATATTGGGATGATAAAACTGATTGGAGAAAAGGGTTTTAAGAATGTTAATAATAGGAAGAGAAAGAAGATGAGGAAGTTCTGGACTTCTGTGAGATGCTACAAAGGAGTGGGGGTTGGAGAAAAGAGATTCTTGCAGGTTTTCTTTGTCTCAAAATTTGGTTACCCGAGAGAATGATGTCGTTTCTTCTTATAATCTTTCATTTTGGTTTTGCTTATATTTTCTTTTACTTTATTATTGTATTTAATTATTATTTTTAGTTGTGTTAAAATTTTTATAAATGATAATATAATATCGATGCCTCTTTTATTACGCTCTTAATATCGAATTCTTTAAATATGTACGCTATCACGCTCTCGCTCCCGCTCCGCGAACTAATTGCGTTCAACTTAATTTCATCTGGCTCGGTTCTGCTATGCGGAGGTGGTAGAAAGTATAAACTTTGTGTGAAGCCGACATGTGTTTGGATCGACGGATGGGTTTCCAATTTCAATGTTCGTATTGGGTTGAGTTTTGATTATCATGGGCTAGGTCCAAGTAGACCCATTGATTATGGATTAAGTATTGGTGAAGCATATAATGGGTTTGGGAGATTTTAGATAAGTTTGGATAGGATATGAATGTTGCTTCCGTACCCATTTACTTGAGTGTGTTTTATCTACCCCATACAAAAATGGACCTATTTGTAAATTTATAAAGTTTAGGTTTCAAAATGTAATCACTTAAAATGTTCGAAGATTTGTAATCACTTAAAATGTTAAAGCATCAGTATAAAGAACCATATTGGCGCGTGGTCATGTAGTTCACTAGCTTCTTTCTCACAAATCACAATCGCGCGCTAAGACCTTCTTTCCCATATTTAGGTGCCTGCTACGCCTTATTTGACTAACTGGAGCCGGAAGTGAGCAATTGTACTTTTTTGCATGACCTATTTTTTTGGATTACCGGATGGGCCATGCTTTGGCTTATCGGGTTTAAACAAGAAGTATACTTATTATGGGATTTCCTACGGTAACTTGAAGTAAGGTAACTTGAATTTTTTTACCTGCTATAGCAGGTTTCACAGGTCGTATTACGTAAAACACAATAGGCATTACGTAATGGTTACGTAACATATGATAATCTTACGTAACAGTTGTAAAAGATCATTACGGAAGCCTTACGTAATAGAATGTGTCTTTACGTAATGAGTATTAACCTCGCGTTATGCAAAATGCAAAGTCATTACGGAAGCCTTACGTAACGCTACTGAATTAACTGTTACGTAAGAAATAAATGTCGTTTCGTAACCTTTACGTAATGGAAGGTCTTTTTACGTAATGAGTATTAACCTTGCGTTACGTAAAGTGCTAAGTCATTACGAAAGCCTTACATAACGCTTCCAATTTAACTGTTACGTAAGAAATAACTATCATTCCGTAACCTTTACGTAGTGAATGGGTATTTT